GGGGGGGGTTTAAATAAATAAATAAATGGGAAGGGAAGGGAGGGTGGCGGGGTGGGGGTGGGGGAGAGGAAGAAGTGTTGTTAACTCTTACCAAGTTATCCAGTTCAGGATTAGAGGAAAAGAGGGGTTTCTCTGCTCGGATCTAAATATAAAGAAAGGGGAGGAAAAGAGAAAGGGGGGAGAAAGAGGGAGGGGGGGGGGAATAATAATAAAAAAGATGTGAAATATGGAAGCGGCAAAAGCAGACGTTATTATTTCTTGCTTCATTACACTGTCGGGTCCATTATGTAACCTTTCGTGCAAAGCCCTGACTGCGGGATTTTTAGTACATCAGCCAAACGCTGGGACAAGTGAATCAAATACACCGAAAAATACCTCCGGAGCTTCGCCGGCAGAGCCCCGGTCTGGACCGGGAGCCGCACAGCGGAAACCCCCGCCGGGGCACACACCGCTCCCACCCACCCGTTTCTTTAAGGGGGAGGTAAATCCTAAGATTTCCCCATTTATTTCGATTTTTTTTATTATTATTATTATTATTTCAGTTGGCCTTTTGGGGTGGTGGGGTTTTTTTTTATTTATTTTTTCTCTTGCAGTGAGGGAAGGGGGAGGGGGAACGCGCATCTTTATCTCAACAGAGACTTGTTTTTCTCATTAGGTTTTTTTTACTTCCCCCCCCCGTTTTAATTTATGCCTGTAGTCTCTTGTCTTCCCACACTGCACATCAGTAAGGAGCTTGGCTCCATCTTCTTGGTGGCCTTCTTGTGGGTACTGTCAAGCTGCTATTGTGTCCCCCCTTTAAGCTTTCTCTTCCGCAGGCTAAAGAAGCCCAGTTCCCAGCTCCTCCTCTCAGACTGCCTGCTCCAGCAGCCTGACCTTCTTGGTGGCCCTCTGCTGAACTTCCTCTGGTTTCTCAGAGTCTGTCTTATACTGGGGGGTCCAGAACTGTACACCTTGATTTTGCGATTGCCTGTTAGCTCGGTTCTGGCCGTCTGAATCAAGTGGTATTGGGCACTGTTAGAGACGGGACACGGGATTTAACTGCTGATTAGACTTACCCGTATGGGATTTTGTGTATACCCAAGTCTTCATATTCTTGTCATCTTAAAGCATTTTGCGTAGCATGGCATGCATCCGTATCCTCATACAGATCTGCCCACACTCTCTAAAACGTATTTAGTTAAATGGCTTTTCAGAATTTGGCCACTTTCAATGCAAAATTTCCAGCCAGTTTCTAATCTCTCAAATCCAACTCAGATGTAAACGTTCTATATAGAGGGAAGAAAATAAAACCATAAGAGTTGGGGAATAAAGAAATAAATATACTATGGGCTGTAAAATGTTGTTAGTATTCCAGTGCAGTTTGTAATTTATTTATTTTTTTAACTTTTACTCTACCAGATATTCCAGTTAAATTAACTAGCTTTTGCGTGTGGTAGTCAGCATAGAGTAGATATTAATTTGTCTCTTGTGTTTGAGAAAAGAATGTAGTTAATATGCTGACTTTATAGTAAGGTCTCTCTATAAAATATTAATCTCTGGAATGACTATTATTGTTGCAGGGGCACAGTGCTTAGATGTTCATTGAAATGTAACAAATATATATTCAGTAATCCTGCAGTTGATTGTTTAAATAAATAAAATCAATAGCAGTTTAATTGATAGCTTTAGTAAGGTATAAGACTTTCTGCACATGGAGGAAGTGACACAAAACCAAAACTGCCTTTATTAGGGAAGTTACTTTTTTATACTTTTTTTTTTGCTGTGTCTCGAATTCAATGTAATTTTTATTATTCCGATCCTTTTGCAATTTTAGTCAAATGTTAAATACATCTGACCTTTATAGAGGGATTTTTCCCCAAATTTTATTTCAGTCAAGCTGTGCATTACAAAACATTTCTTTTATTGAACCTGTATTTTGCAACTGGATGAAGAAGTCCCAGTAGTTTGGGATCGCTAGTTTAGATTGATTCCTGTAAATTGTACTGCAAAATGCAGACAATAAAATTGATAGTTATCAACTAAATATATTTTTAATTGTATTTGTTAAATATATAGAGATCTTATTTGTGCTTTATTGTAAAATGGATGCAACAGGAACAATCAGGAAAATACTTGTCTCTTTTTTAGTATTTTTCAGGATTGGTCAAGCTTTTTTTCTCCAGTCGTGTGGTATTTAGTTATCTGCTTTCAGAGTTTGTTCTCATGTGGAGTTCTTCTCTTTTAAATACCTTTAAATACCTTCCTCTCAGATGCCACTCGGCGTTTGGGTGCAGCATGCTGAATAGGTTTACGAGAAAGAGTTTAGTGAAACCACTTTTGAAAAAAATGGCATAATAGTTTGCACCAATAATTCAAAGGACTTGTCACCTGCTGGTACTTGAGGAACAAGTATAGGGTCTGTTTGTCAGGTGAAATCACACGGAATATTCCAAGAGAAGACTTACTGGGTTATCAAAATGATAAAGGAGAAAAGTGGCAGAGGGTTACTTTAGTATTAATAAAGTTACTTTCCTCCTTATCCTGCAGGTAGAACCATGGTGGGGAGAGGCTTTTCTTTTCCTTGATCATTGCCAGGTGTTTGTCTAAGCAAGCAATGTTTGAAAATGTTGGGTTGTCTCATATTGCACGTTTTAAACTCGCAAATAATAGAAATGAGGCGGTTTGGGGCTGGTAGCAGGGAAATACCTTTTTTTTAAAGTGGCTAAAATGCTTTAGAACCAGACCTTGCAGGGATGCAGGTACCTTGAAATTCTTAGCCTTTCTGTTACGAAGACTTTTAAGTAGTTCCATGGACTGTGAACATTCATGATGTACCAACACAATGAAAATAATAATAGTGTGGTATGAGTTTAAGGGGGAGGTGGACAACCTAGCACTGCATTTCCAGCCTCCCGTGTGTCTTCTGCACACGTATTTCAATACAATCTTTAGACGTATTTCATCATCTATATTCCCTTATTGTACTTAACCTGGGGTCACGGTAATATTTCTTAGTTTTAATGCTTCCAGATTTATTAAAGGGTTGCTGATAAATTCTTTTAATCCAATGTGACTTATTGATTCATGTATTTGAAAGATCTTTAATATCCTCTTTGTGTGTTTGATTCCTTAAGTGTTGTGAAAAGGCAGAAATTGGTAATTGTTGGTAATAAGATCTCCGGGCCTTAGAACTGTGTGTCATTCATTTAAAGAGGATTAGGAGAGGCATGAGCTCACAGACCAGGAGACAGTAAGGAACAAAACCACAAATATAATTATGGATAGTACACACAATAGGTGGTTTAAGCATGTCTGTTGTAACAACAGGAATTGGGTAATCACGTATACCACCCTGGGAGAGGGCAGTTATCTTGTAAAAGAACCCCTTGGTTCAAATGCAGAGGAAAGGCAGCGATCAAACGCCTCCTGAATTGCAGATGTTTACTTTCATCAGTTTATTTGATTAGGATCACAATGGAAGAATGGTGTGCCAAACTGAAAAAGCATTTTGTGCAGGAAGGAAAAACTTGCTGCTACTGGATAGCCAGTTAATTCTTATCCAAACTAAAACTGTGCATCTCTCCTTCATACACTGAGTCACCGCTGAATTGCACTAAAGCCAGTAAAAGGATGAAGGAATTATATATATACAAAAGCAAAACTTGTCTAGGCACATAGCATTTAGACTTAAAAATGATGAACTAATTACTTCATTAAGTGACCATCCAGGAAATGCAAGTAGCTGATACAAGCAAGACAACGTGGACTTGGCAATTTGAGCAGAGAGAACTTGGGCTATTTCCTAGTTGGTTTTTTGTTTTTTCTTTCTCTCTCTTTTCTCTCTCTCTTTTTTTTTTTTTTTTAAAAAAAAAAAAAAAGGGTTTTCTTTGTTAAAGATTAAGGAGCGCAAAAGCGAACGCGGTTCCCAGGCAGCGGGGGGAAACGGCCACTTTTCATCTATTAAAAGCGAAGGTGTGAATAAACACTTTTAAAGATCCCTGACACTTGCTTGGACCCAAAGAGTTAAAAAAAAAAAAAAAAAAAAGGCAAGTTGGCAGCAGAGGAACTTTCTTTCCCAACCAACCGCTCAGAGGGGCGACAGGCAAATTAAGGCAAGAAAACTTCTTTCCAGAGCTTTTCCCCTTCCCCAAATCCTTGCTCACCCGACTCTGGCTGATTTAGGGGTTGGGTTGTTGGTTTTTTTTTTTCCCCCTCCACAACTTCAATTTAAAGAAAAAAAAAAAAAAAAAACAACCCCAAACAAGGGAGATCTCATCCAAAATAGAAACAACAATACACATGGCAGTGCACGCCGGTAACCTCTAAGTCAAATTAAAGTGACTTTCTTTAAAAGAGAGGCTTTTTTTTTTGCCCGTTGCACCACACCTTTTGTGACTTTATATATATATATAAAAAAAAAAAAGGAAGGAGGGGAAGGAAAAGTAGGTAAAAAAGCATAAATAAAAGTTATGTTTCCTCCCAGCTAGAAGTTATCTCCCGAAGTGAAGCGGTATATCATCACTACCACAGCAAAACGCTCAGAGACATGCACACATTCAAATATTTCAAGCACTGGTGACTTTTAAAAAAAAAAAAGACATCGGTAGGACTAGAGCTACAAAACCAACAAATACAGAGGCTCGGACATATTCACTTACATGCCTGCATGTCATTAATGTATAGAAAGCTTGCCTTTTGCCGGGAGAGATCCGGGATGGGGAGTAAAAGAATCAAGAAAATAGCAACATAGACAGGTTTGAAGCCTACAAGTACAACTGATAAATCCCTCCCGCTCCAGGACACCGCTTTGTGCCCCTGTTCCAAACAGGATGGGGTGAGGTGGTGGTGGTGGGGGGGGTGAGGGTGAAGGGAGGGGGGAAAGGAA